TGGTCTATGAGAGAGAATCTCTCTCTCGCTGGGATGCAGTTAACGTCATTCATTTTATGACTACCATCCTCTTCTTATAATCTGTATGCATCCATATAAACCCTTTTGGTAATGAAGATTTCAAAACAGGCTATAGCAACAAAATGTCTGATGCAAAAGACATCTAGGAATGCTGGATAGGCATAGTATGTCCTGCTGCTGGAGACCTAATATCGTCTCTAGGTGTCTTCGTATCATCCGACTGACCTCTTTATAACCCTCTCCTATTCCTTTCATCGTGTTTTCAAAGTAATCAAACTCGTATTCTTCAGGGAAAACGCACCATGATTTGTAAGGAACTATCCTCTTCGTCGATTATGATTTCACCTTCGGGAATTGATGATGTTGTTTAGATCTATGTTAGGGTCCTCATATCGAAAAGAATTAGAGAGAGAGTAACGACTCTAAATAGAGCGTTAATCTTTGTTTCTGAAACTCGATGGAGAGACCCAGTAAATACCCATGTCCACAATTAACATCAACATATCAAACATATAAGAGCTCCTCCGTTAATTCTTCCTTGGTAATAGCTATATGAGAGGCCAACCGGTTAGTGAAACACATATAAATCCCCGAACTTCTGAATTGCACAATCTCTATTAGACTAATTTAAGCTCTTTATCCAAATAATGCCACGCAGAGGATTGGATACAACAATAAGACATTACTTGGCTCCATGTTCTACAAATAACTCCCCGGAAATTATTATTAAACTTTATACAGAAAAGTAATTGCATAGTGCTACTCAATTAATCCTGCGAATAAAACTCTATAATCTCCTCCAGATTGAGCTCAAACAGAGAAGAAGCCTCATTGTAGGCTAACCAAAGCATGTGCTCGAAGAGAATGGAATCAACATCCACGAAGATTGCGTCTTTTTCACCCTTCTCTTTTCTGACCGTTTCAAATAAAACTCTAAAAGGATCCTTTCTAAGTACGAAAGGGTCTACAAAGAACACTCTCTTCTCTTTGCCCACAATTACTTGCACCGTTGGCTTGTTTTCTGATGATGAATCGTGGCCGTCCATTGCGAGAGCTCGGTAGCCATGGCGAGCTGCGTAGGACGGCAAGCGGAGGAATACGCAGCAGCCCATTTGATCTTGTTCGGAGATGGCTGCCATTGAAGAGAGAGAGAGAGAGAGAGAGAGAGAGAGGAAGGGCAACGGTCGATTTTATATATGAATGATTGGGATGTTTTTAAATAAAAAATTGATTATTTATTATTATATGTAAAGAGTGAAGAGGGCCGTTGGACTGATTCTCTTTAGGAAAGTTAAGAGGAAAGCTCTCTTATGAGCTGGATACTTTGCATCAATTCTAGATGGTTGCCGGCAAAAGGATAATTTTTTGCTCCTTTTTTTTTTGGATTCTGTTATCCCAATATACTTGGGATTATTTTTGTTCTTATTTTGAAACTGTTTAAGAATCACTTATCAAAGTTCTGATATCTACTGTTTTCAGATCTATTTCATATTGGAACGGGGAACTAAAAAAGATCATTAAATCATGTAAAAGCTTTTTTTAATTGAGATATTGTACAAATTAAGAGCTAGATACCATTATCAAGAGAACACATTATCAAGTGAAATCTTCGGGTTGGGATCCTCTACTAATGAGGACCCTTCCTAAGATCTCCTCATGAGATCTTGGCCTTTGATTTATCAATCAAATGTCATGATCTC